AAACCCACTACTTAGCGATAAAGTATAAACTCCAATCTTGGTGACAGGTGAAGCTTTCCTATTCCCCATGATCAAGTTTATTCTTCCTTGCTCCACATTCTCACTTCTTCTTAGTCCCTGCAAGTCACAACAAATATGAATACCACAACCGGTATCAAGGACCCAAGATTTCGAATGGGGTGAGTTATTAGAAATGATAGTGTAAATACCTGCATGGTTGGGTTTGACTTTCCCATCCTTCACATCTGCTGGTACTTTGGGCAGTTCCGCTTCCAATGAGCTTTTTCATGGCAATAGAAGCATTCAGCCTCTTTTGGGTCAGAAGAAGGAGTAATGAAACCTTTCTTGGTTCCACTTGAAGAAGAGCCATCAAGGGTCCGAGCCTTGGTACCCTTCGAAGATCTCTTTCTCTTCCTCCCTCGACTTTTCCCGATTGCCAAAACCGGAGTTGAGTTTGGAGTAGGAGTGATAGCAACCGACTTCCCCTTAAGACCTGTTTCTGGTCTTGAGAAGTCCCTGAAGTTTGCTGAGGTGACCTCTTCCTTGTTCATGTGATATGTCATGCGGAATTGATCATAGCACGATGGTAAGGAGTGCAAAATGATATCTATTGCAAGCTCCTCAGGGAAGTTCACATTAAGCTTCAGCAAACGATCCACATACCTTTGCATTTTCTGCATGTGGCTCGTGACGGAATCTCCGTCCTTCATCATGGTTGTTATCATGGAGCAGATGATTTCGTACCTCTCTTGTCGTGCACTTTGATGGTATCTTTCCATCAAATCTTGGTGCATTTCATAAGGGTAGAAATCCTCATAGGACTTTTGGAGTTCTGCTGTCATTGTGGCCATCATGATGCATGCTACTTTCGTAGCATCCCTTTCATGTGCCTGAAAGTCAGCGATCTCCTGAGGAGTTGCAGTGGTCTCATCAATCTCCTTAAGCTCCTTGTCAAGGACATATTCTTTGTCCTCGTAGCGGGTAATCATCCTGATGTTTCTGATCCATTCATTGAAGTTGGATCCATCAAAGGTGACTTTCCCACACAAACTCATAAGAGTAAAGGAGCCATTAGGATTTGAGCCAGACGCATTATTTGAAGACATCTGAACAAGTTTAGTATAGATTTAAGAGAGTCCTTAATAAAACACCCAAATGTAATATTAAGGCTAGGATCCAATCACAATATAATATAACTTAGAAGAGGTATGCCGTAATCTAAGCTATACCATATTTGAAAGGTAGGTGAATGACGATTCACCAATTTCCACCACGAAAACCGAAGGTTTTTATAGGTTTTTAGAAATTCCTAGATTCTTTGAGATTCAATGAACTTTTCAAAGGCATGTTTCAATCTCGAGAGTGCCCTCCAAGTTTTGTGATTGGGATACCGAGGATCACAAAACGAGGTGTGAAGTAACCATGCAAATCACTTGGTACCCTTAAAGTTTATCACTCAATCGATGTGCCGGTAAACCACACACGCTCCACCGATACTATAATAAACCTTAAGTCACCCTTTACCTACCTTGTTAAGTCCAAGTTAGTGTGCCGGTTAACCACACACGCTCCACCAACGACTTAGACAAAGTGTAAAGTGTAATTTCATGGATTAGCACCTTATTCACATTTTCCTAAAGTAACTAAGATTGGGAATTTAATAAAACATTTAGTTACTTTATAATATTCATCATACTTTGAATGAGAGTTTATAAGTCCTTGTCTTACCCGTTCGGCTAACGACCCTCCACCAGTCAAGCAAGCGGTGGGTGAGAGTAGACACCCATTAAGTCACCATTTTATAGGCAACAACCTTATACCCACCTTATAGACCGGCTTCGTGAATGAGGCGTACTAGCGGTAAGACGACTTTATTCTTATACATATATATATATATATATATAATTATTAAATCATCATATTATAAGTATAAGGGTTGAATTTTAACTTTAAAATTCTAGGGGTTGGAACTTAAAGTTTTAACTTAACTTTACTTGTTCCAAAACTTGAGGGCAAGTTTTGTAACTTTCAAAACTTTTCATTTCTTGTAACTTATGAGTTTAATAGAGTAATAAAATGAAGACTCTTCATTTTTCTAACTCTTGTGTTTGTTTTAATGGTTTTTAATTCAAGTGTGACTCTTGGTTTTCCATAACTTGAGGACAAGTTATGGACTCCATTAAAACACATTATGATCAAGAATTAAACTACCACATAGGTTACAAATAATTCCTATGATCATCTAAAACATCATAAGAACAAGAACATGAATATGAACTTATTCATAAATCAAAAATTACACTTAAAACTTTGTAATTTTGATAACTAGTTGTTGTAAATGAATTATCAAAGACATTACACCATCTAAAACAAGTTTTTCAAGTACCAAAAACGTTTAGGGTAATGTTTATAATTCATTTCCAGCAACTAAATCGAAATTCTGCAATCAATCGACCCTACTCGCCGAGTGCATGAACTCACTCGCCGAGTTGGTTGAAGATACTCATGAACTCGACGAGTCCCCCCTATAGACTCGACGAGTCCATTCGCAGACAGCAAGATTTTCGATTCTTTTTCAACTTTTAAGCACAAATAAGAGCAAACAAGCCTAGGCTCTGATACCACTGATGGGTTTTGAGCATTCTAACACTTCCTAAGTGTACATGCAACCCTAATAACCTTGGATCTATGTTTGTCTAATTATCATGCAAAGTTGAATTCCAAGGTTATATTCCTATCTAGCATACATGGGGAACAATTTTAACTTAAAGTATAGATAGAATAACTTACCTTGTTGTTGTTTGTGTTCCTTGAAACCTTGTGAGCCTAGCACCCCAAGTGTGATGCCTCAAATGCTTCACACAACACCAAATGCTCTTGGAAGAACTTATGAGAGAACACACACTTCTCAAAAACGGCCAAGCCCTCTTGTTTCCTTGTGTGGCCGATTTTAGATAGAGAACATGTTTCTTATATAGTGTTGACACATCTAGGGTTAAACCCTAATGTGTCATGACTCTTCATTTCGATGACCCATGGGTTTGTAACTCCCATGGAGCATCCATGGAGCATCCTATGGGTGGAACCCAACTTGATAGTCCATGGAGCCTTTTAGCCCACTATACAAGAAATGGATGATTTACATAATCAACCCATATATTTAATTAGTTATCTTTTGATCACATAATTAATTCTAAATTAATTCTTGATCAAACTAATCAAATAATATTATTAATATATTAGAACTTATAATATATTAATAATCTCCAAGTGTTATTTCTCTAATTTAGTCTATCCAATTGCATGATGCCATGCAACCCAAATGGACCATGCCGGGTCGGGTCAAGTACATACCAGAAATAGTTATGGACTTAGACACATTATCCAACAGTCTCCCACTTGGGTCAAGTACTGAACCAAACGTTGCTCTTCCCTTCTATCAATATAAGGCTTAAAAGCTTTCAACACATCAGGTTCTGTAAGAGCTAACTGATCCCACAAATCCGACATAGCTGCATAAAATTCCTGAACACTAAGACTGTTCTGTTGGAGGGCTCGAATATCAAACTCTAACTAATACTGCTTTGCAAAGTTAGACTGAGTATACAACCTAGCCAAGTGATCCCAAACCTCCTTTGCCGTGTCATACTTCGCCAACTGAGTACCAATAGACTGGATGACAGAATTATTAATCCAAGTAATGATCTTGGAGTTATCAGTCTCCCATGAATCCAATAAGGTTTCATAATTAGCGGCCTTCTTGTCTGTTGGTTTCTTCTTGTCACCTGTAACAATCCCCCACATAGTCTTGCCCCGCAAGAAATTTTTCATAACATAACTCCAATAGGCATAGTTTTTGCCATCAAGTTGAATACTAATGGACTGAATAGAATCATCTCTTGGGGCCATATTTCAATACCAGTCAAATAGTAAATACGAGTAGCAGCCAAAAATGATCAAGATCTCGAAATCAACAAGGCTAGACGAAAATGAAACCCTCAAAATCGACAAACGAACAAATCAAACCAAACCAAATACAAAAACGAGCAAAAAAGGCATACCCCAAAATTGCAAATGGTGACAATGAACAGTGCACGTGAATAGTGCCGATGAACAGTGTCGATGAACAGTAACTGTGAATAGTAGCCGTGATGAACAATAACCGTGAATAGTGTCGATGAACAGTAACTCCGATGAACAGTACTCTGTGAACAGTATCACCGATGAACAGTATCGCTGATGAATAGTATTTCAGCGATGAACAGTGTCGATGAATAGTAACTCCGATGAACAGTAATCGCGATGAACAGTGCCAATGAACAGTACTTGTCCAAAAAAAAAAACGAAAAAACTACAGATAATCAACCGAGCTCTGATACCATGAAAACTAACAAATGAAATACATATAACGGCTAGGGTTTCATATTATTATCAAAGAGAAGTACAAATACAATGAAAAGGAAAGACATAATATATAGACAAGCTAATTAGGGTTTCCTAGCAAAAATACCAAATCATAAAACCCAATACAAAAATAAAGGCCAAAATATTATTAGGTTAACAAAATGTACCCTTTAGCTACAAGAGGAACCGGATAAAAAAAGTCGTAGTAGACATAATGTCCACATAATCTAAAATGGTAAACAATTTAGATTAGACATAACAAATTTCAGGGAATCTTACTTAAATACAAGACACATTACTTATATGTAATTATTCCAATTAATAAGCACATGATTCCCTTGTGATCCATTTTCAAGAAGGTTTCTTTAATATTAAAGGATGTTTATGTCGAGTAAAGTGTGTCAAATTATATGCCAAGTCTTTTAAAAAGTTAAAAATATAATGATTTTAATGAAAAAAATAACATAAAAATCTGAAAAGACAACATCTTTTTTTGCCATTTATCTTAAATATTAACCTATATTGGTGTAATGTAAAGTAAATTGGGAAAAAAATATTTGGTGATTAGAACCTTTTTATGGAAAGGAGTGAGAGAGAGAATAGAAGTAAACTAGAAACCCTTTTTCTAACCAGAAGCCTGTCCATCGGCACGCGGACCTGAACAGACCATGATTGCCATTTGTCCATACTCTCCACTGATCACCTTCCCTCAAAATATTATTCAATCCTCCCTCCGTCATCCATGGCGGATTCCACCTTCTTGTTTCTGACGCACACCTTACAATATTTGGATAATAAATCATGTCGGTAGCCTAAATACAACTTTCAACGCATTTATTTTGAATTTGAAAAACATGCACCTCTTCTTTCGTCTTCTTCTACAAATCTCTGTGCAAACACATGCCAAAATCACACATTTCGATATTTTATTGCTCTGAAGGTTGCTGTACTACTATCGATTTCTGCTTCGCTGATTCTCACTGTCTATCTATCTACTACATTTAATTAATTAATGCTTCAAGATTCCCGCAATCCCAACTTCAGTTTCTCTCTCTTTCTAAATTTTTACACCGGCATCGTTTATCCCTCTCCATTAATGCGTTTGCAGACTGCGATGTTATACATGTATGGAAGCGTATTCATAGATCTGGCAAGTTTTGATATGGGTTTACAAGTCCAGGTGCAGCAGAGACAATGATACGAAAACTGGGTTTAGGGTTTGGGGGGCGATTGATGATATTGTGTTACTGACATGGGCTGCAGACCTTCCAAAGTTGACGATTTGCCATTGGTGATACGTTGTAGAGAGAGGAAGAGATTGATCAAGTCCGCCGCGGATTACCGGTACGATTTGTCTTCTTCGCATCTGGCTTACTTTCATTCTCTTAGAGACATCGGTTTTGCACTTTCTCGATTTGTTGATGAACAGCTTGTAATCCCCTCACCCTCTCCATCCTCCCCGGTACTGACATTGCCATCTGACCAAGGTAAGACTAAAAACAATGGCTCCATGTCTTCTGGTTCGATTTCTCATATTCATTCCATAGATGGTGGAAATGGGGATTCTGAATCTGATCTGAGTTCATCTCTGGATGGCCATATTCATCTGCATGATAGTGGTGGTTTTGAAAATGAAAAACCCCGATCTTCCTCGCATAATCGGCCCCATCACTACAACGAATTGGATTCAAATGACCCTTATGTAATGAACAGAGAGCCACCACCCTATCAACCTCCTTGGGGACCAAACCAAACAAATTTCAGTGATCCTTATGCAATGAACAGAGGACAACCTCCCTATCAACCTCCTTGGGGCGACCCTTATGTTGTGAACCCATCTGCATTCCCATATCAACCTCCTTGGGGACCAAACCAAACTAGTTGGGGCGAGAATGACCCTTACAATTACATGATGAACCCATCTGCTTCACAATATCAACCTCCATGGGGAGCATATCAAGAGAATTTTGATTCTCACAATGAATATGGTGGAAATCCTAATTCAAATCAGTATGCTTCTTATATGAAAAAATCTGCCCCAGCTACCCGCACTGTGATTCAACCAGAGGAAGCAAGGGGCTTTCAAGAAACTAGGCAATGGCCTGATCCATCACAATATAATCCATATGGGTATGGATTTTCTTATGGAGGGGCACCAGCACCACCTCCCCAAGAACCTGAAAAACCCAAAAGTCCCCCACCTCCTCCTCCACCCAAGGATTCTGATTATCTTAACTTTTTTGATGCGTATGATAACGGGTATCCTGGTTATGGATACGGATATGGATCAATGGTTAGTAGTCCAGATTCGAGTGAAGTGAGAGAGAGGGAGGGAATTCCAGACTTGGAAGAAGAAACAGAAACCGAGTCCAATCATGAAGAAGTTCTAAAGAGGCACACCACTAATAATATAAAGAGAAATTTAGGTGAAGGCACATCAAGATCAGTTGGATTAGAAGATAATGTAGGTAGTTCATGGAGGGAACATTCTAGAAGAATCCCACCAAGAAAAAGTGAAATGGAAACACATGATGAAGCTACTTTGAATTCAGTAGCATCGGAAAATAATGAGAGAGCACAATCTGTTGAAATTGAAGTAGACAGGCATAGTCCTGAGACAGTTGTTTCACAAAGCATGGGGGAGGGGTATGAGGGTAAAAAGGGAGTTAGTTTTGATGTAGATGAGGAATCCATACATGAGATTGAATCCTCAATGTTAAGTAGTTTGACAACATTATCTGTTCATGGTTCTCGGGATCTTCAAGAGGTAGTTAATGAAATCAAGGATGAATTTGAGGTTGCCTTTGGTTATGGGAAAGAGGTTGCCTTGATGCTTGAAGCAGGGAAGTTGCCTTATCAATCAAGGTTTGCAGTTCTTAAGGGTAAACAACATTTGATTTTTGTCACCATGATAAATATTCATACAATTTTTTTTTTTTTTTTTTTTAAATCAGATCTCCCTGTCGTAGGGCTCTGTTTTGCTCTGATTCTTTTATATTGGAGCTTTCCTTGTATAGAAGTGAGCATACAGAAGCTTGCAATTTCTTGCATTAAGCCTTTTTTTCATTATGCTGTTCCAAAGTCGCATTGACATTGATGTTTTATAAAACTGTATCACATACTAATACTTATATATATAATGTTATTTTGCAGTGGTCTTATCGAAGATTCTGTATCCTTTAGCATCTTCAGAGCATCCAATACAATCTGTAAGATCGTGTTCTAGGGTAACAAAATTAGCAGGGTCTTATAATGTGGATGCAGTTCCCAATGTTAGGTCCATCAACCTTTCTTCTACTTTGGAGAAGCTATATGTATGGGAAAAGAAGTTATACAAGGAAGTAAAGGTAATATCTTTGTCATTACTATTGCTCCTTGTTCTAATAGGATGGATGCTGTTCAATATATGCATAGCATTGTACTTTTCATTTTTTTTTTCTTATTAGGACATTCTACTTTGAAAAATCTACCCAATTATAGCAATTTTTTTCTCATTAGTACAATGTTTTAATATGACTACATGAAAGTAGAGTGCTATAATAAACAAACAAATATATGAAAGTATGTTGCTTTTACAAGAAATAGGAATATAGTTTCATTTATTTGTTTATTATATCATCTTACATTCATGTTGCCTTATTACAACATTATATTTTCAATATTTTTCTTATCAAGGAATTGTACTTTGGAAAAGGGTTAAGGTTGAAATTGGCCCTCCAATTATCGTTTAAACTTTTTTTTTGGAGGTTCAATATCATTTCACTTTCAAAATTGTATCCATTGCACCATGTGATGTGCTATCGCAGGTTACCCAGCTTTTTTAATCTACAAATTTGCCCTGAAATTTTAGATTTTATGTCCCAACTTGTTTTACATAATTTGTTATTTTAATATTTCTTTTTGTTTTACATTTTTAGTAATTTGTGTTAAATTTCTGAATAAAATTTTGTTATGTTTTCATCCTTTACAACTTGATTTTACATGTTTTTTTACAACTTTGTTTTGACATGTTTTCACGTTGTTTTTTTGTTTTTAACTTTGTTTTTACATTGTTTATTTTAAGATTATTTATGTAAAAAAAGCATAAAAACGTGTAAAAAGGTTAAAGAAAAACTTGTAAAAATGTGTAAATACGATCTAAAAACAAAGTTAAATGAATTTACAAAAAAAAAGGTCGAGGCAAATTTGTAAAAGATTAGTTGGAGGGCTTAAATGATTATAGCAATACAAATTGGTTTGTATTTGAATGACATTGCTATAATAAAGTAGGATGCTATAATAAAGAAATATATGAAAGTATGTTGCTATTTCTTGCATTTAACCCTCTGATGTATTTGTATATTGAATGAATTATAAACATATGGCGTCCATCTTTAAAGGAGAGAGAAACACACTTCATTCTTGGTTGTTGAGATTATGACCTTCCTACCTTGTAATTATTATATGTATAAAACTGAAAACTCTTCTCCCTTGTATTGTATTGGGAACTAACAAGTGTTGAAGTAGCAAAATAGTTTACAAATTGTTTACGTTCAACATTCAATTCTGAACATGAATAAACTTCCTGCCTTGATATTACTAGGTACTTTATAAAATTTAGAATCTCCATCAATTAACTAAATGCAAGAAATAGCAACGTACTTTCTTATAGCATCCAACTGTCATTTCTGTCTATCACATGCCAGCATTGTATTTTTCATATTTTTTCTTAGTAAGGCATAGTTTATAGTACTATGAAAAGTCTACTTAATTATACTAGCATTTTACTTTCATCTTTTTTTTTGGGGGACATTATTCTTGGAAAAAGTTACCCCATTATAGCACTGAAAAACTAGGTAATTTTGTTGCAAATTGCAATAGAATTAGAAGAAAAAAAAAATGAAAATAGGATGCTCTAGTCTATAATAACTGATACATGAGGTGGTTTTAGGATGAAGAGAGGCTGAGGGTGATGTACGAGAAGATGTACAAGAGACTGAATGAATTGGATGCAAATGGAGCAGAATCTAGTAAGATCGATGCTGCACAGGCTTCTATACGAAGGTTGATGACTAAACTAAACGTATCCATCAAAGCCATTGATGCCATATCTACCGAGATACACAAAGTCAGGGACAAAGAACTGCAGCCACAAGTCAGCGACTTGATCTACGGGTGGGTATCAATATCATCATCATTTGTCAACCAACATCTTCATCTTCTTCTTCTTCTAATAATAATAATAATAATAATGATTATGTTATTATATATATATATATCTACAGACTGATAAGAATGTGGCAAGCGATTGTGAAATGCCACCGGAAACAATTCGAAGCTCTCATGGAAAGCAGAAGCCGAACTTTACGAACAAACACAACAACAAAGCTTGAACAAGATTCAAACTCCAGAGCTGTAGTCGATCTTGAAACCGGACTCGTAACGTGGTCCCAACATTTCAACAACTGGATCAACGCCCAAAAATCATACATTGATTCCCTAAACGGGTGGCTAAACCAATGCATCGATCACCAACCGGAACTAACCATCGATGGCGTCGTCCCTTATTCCCCGGCCCGTCTCGGGGCCCCACCAATTTTCGTAATCTGCAATGATTGGCACCGCGAAATCAAATCCGTTTCCCAAGATCGCGTCTCCAATGCTATACACGGGTTTGCGTCTAATCTCAGACAGTTGATGGAGAGGCAAGACGATGTGCAAAGGATTATGGTGAAAAATGAGTATCATGCAAAGGATTTGGCTGGAATCAGGAAGAAGACTGGCGGCGGTGGGTTGCCGGAAAAGACGAGTGGGCCGATGGTTCCGTCGGAAAGTGGGGTGGTGGAGGAGGAATGGGCGAGGCATAAGGAGGCTATGAAGTTGGTTGCTGGTGGTGGTGGTTTGAGTAGTTTACAAGGTGGTGTGATTCCAATTTTTAGGGCTTTAGAGACTTTTACTTGTGATGCGTTAAAAGCTCATGAGCAGGTAAGACTGCAAGGCTAAATTAGGAAATTTGTGGGAAGAAGCTAATTTTAAAATGAATTCTTTTGGTAAGACTAGAGAGTAGACAGTAGTAGTAGTTGTAGGATATTATTGAACATGTTTGGGTGTTGGGTGTTGTTAGCCATTCCTTTTGAACCATAGTCTAGACTAGACTAATGTACAGACATATTGCTGATATTTTTGTTTTAAATTAGTAAAACCTTAGACAGTAATTGGTTGATTATTATTGCAAGGTATATTGTACAAGATTTTGTAAATTATGGTTGTTATATTATATAGAGTCAATTTTATTCTTCTCATCTTTCTTTTGATTTACTGTTTCATTTGGATTACTGTTTGTCCTACCATAGCATCTACAAGCTGAAAGTTTGATAAATATAATCTTAATTCAAGTATGGATGGATATTGCTTCTTTATTCTGGAATGGATATACCCTTTTTCGTACGTCACGTAAATGATTATTAAAATACTTAACTATTATTAGCCTAGATTCAATTCAAACACCCTAGAAACCAAACCTAGATTGTCTCAATCTTCAAAGAGTTCATCTCCTGTCATGTTTATTCATGATGACATCCATATTTTAACACACAACGTATAACTATTCCCAAACAGAAGAATATTTACATTCAATATTTAGACATTTCATAAAATTTCAGTAATTTAACAAAAAATAGACTTGCATCATCAGCTTAAAAATAAAAAGGAATAAAGAAAAGGGCTAAATAACAATGTGTTTTCCTTTATTTGTATATTACATCATACTTTCATTTCTTTCCTTACAACATTGTATTTTCAATTATTTTCTTATTAAGGATTGTATTTTGAAAAAACTACTGAATTATTGCAATATACAACCAACTTATTCGTATCATGACGTAAAAATTTAAAGAATCTTACCAACTATAGCAGTGAAAATTATTTTGTATTTTGGTTAGGATTGGTAAATCTAGCAATTATGTAGTATTTTTTTGTCTGACACGTAAAACAATGTCGTGTTCCAGGACCGGTCCAAACGTATGTGAGGCCCAGGGCGAAAAGAAAAAAAAGATTCTTCAAAGACAAATAAAATAAAGATTAAAAAAATCATTTATTCTTCGGTATAGCCATGTTCAATTAGCAATAACAAACAAGTCAAATTGTTTATATTTTGAACTAATTTGAGTTTGAACCAACTGTACGCTCTAAAAATCATTTAGATAATAATTTTTTTTTAATAATATACACTACATAGCCCATAAATTTTCGACCCCCTGGAAACGTGGATCCTGGGCAATCGCTCAGGTTGCCCACCGTTTGGACCGGCCCTGCCGTGTTCCTTTTACCAACATGATTCCATTATTTTATTTACATCATACTAAATCATACAAAACATGACAAACACGAAAAAAATAAGTAACACATGTTAATATTGCGTCAAATGTGTCGAGTTTTGAACATAAACACGTCAGTACCTCGTGTTTTTTTACACTAAATACGAAAACAAATTTCAATTTCAATTTCTTGTCATGTCATTGATTGACACCCCTAAATTGGTACATTACAAGCTATAACTAGGTAAAATTTTCCATGCACAATGCTGTAAAAGGAACAAATGCATGCAAGATGTTACAATAAACAAATCATTAAAAGTATGTTGCTATGTCTTGAACCTAACCCTAAAAAGCATAAAACTGCCACCACCTTCACTTTTTTTGTACTTTCAGTCAACCAAACAAAGGTTGCCAACAAATGATGGAGGGTTCAGTATCTTTTGTCAATGGAGGGTGTGGAAAACTATTGTATGTGAATTTCGTCTTTTTCAATATTTAGCGTTTAGGGTTTATTTGCGTCTTGATCTCTTGTGATTCATCCGCTTTCGTGCAAATCTTGACGTTTTAACAGCTCGAACATCACCATGCTTAATATGTTTTCTTTTTGTAGCATAAACTGAATCACCATCAACACCCACACGAAGCCGGTGGCTTTTAGGCCTTAATGATCTTCTAAAATGGTTTCTTTTATGGTCTCTTGACGACAATCTCCTTCGACCATTGTTCCTATAAGAAAAACTTGTTTCCATGTCTGTTTCTTCATCGCTTCCATTAATACTCATGTCAGCCATTTCAATATCTCTCCTATGTCTTCTCCTTTTACCCTTGGCATTACACAACATATGACACAGAAATTCGCATCCTTGTTCCCATGCCGAGAAAAATGACCGGATGCATGCCCATACAAGTTTCCATAGCATATGAAAAATGCAGTGATATAGTCTAATCTTGTATAAAAAGTAGAAGAATAGTAAAACTGCAAGCATATTGATGAACAAGTAAAGGGTTAAATGCTATTCAAAGTGGTGAATGGAGCATAAAGATCGATGTGTACATTGGGTAAGAAGTAAACTTAGTTCTTAGGTATGCATGAAGTATACATATGAAGAAACTCACCGACGAAAACCAGAAGTGAAACCGAACACAATTTGATTAGATGTTGAATGCAGAAATTTTCGATGTAACAAGCAAAATCCCATGTTGGACCACACAAAGAGCTGTCGGTAATTGTAAATTAAGCGCAAAAATCAGTCACCAATTGATAAAACTGAATTTAGAATGATAAATATCATCGAAGAAAGATACATATACATGCATGGTGCGAATATATATACATATGTTTCACTAAAAGAAACTGCATCAAAGAACATAAAAAAGAAAGAAAAATGGATTTTTACTTGCAAGACTTGCCGGAAAGAAAATCGAGTGGAGCACCAAATATACTTCCAAATACATGACCAACTCCAGAAAATAATGCCCCGATTGGATTCCTCATGATCAATTTCCCCGTGGATGTGGACGTCTTCAAGATTTTGATTTTGGGAAATGGAGACAAATGTGATTAAAAATTTGTTTTTGGCGGTTATAAAACTTAATCCTACAACCGTTGTAGGATGGTAACATTAACAAGGGACCCTTAACTTTTACATATAGGTGTTAGTTTTTTTTTTCTATAAATTTTTTATCATGCATCAAATATGAATATTGCATACCTTAATCTAGTTATTGCATATCCTTATATCATAATCTGCCCATTAAACTAAAAACTCCATAGCTCAACAGCAAATTTATTACGAGTCAAATATTGCTATTATTCAATTGTCACATTAAAAGTACTTTTTACCAATTAAGTTGTGATTCGAATTTCTTTAACAAATATTTTTCTTTAACGGTAGTGACTACAACCAGAAAATTTAGGCTTTATCCAACCTTTTTTAGATGTATAGCAAGGGGATAAAAACTTTAAAAAATAATAATTTGTAAATCGAAATCTAAAACCGTTTTGATCTAAGTAGACAGGTAAACACCATAGATAGCATTATAGAATTCATAACAAACAAAACAAAACTCCATATCAACTTAGAAAGTTAAAATTAATGCTATCATCATAAAATCCTAGAACATTATAACTCTTACAACTTAAATACCTCTGTGTTTTAACAATAAAATATCAATTGAAGTTCGATTGTCAGATAAAAATTCAAGAAAAATAACACTTTATCAGTAATATTATTGTAAAACCTTAGAGAAACAAGTTTTTGCAAAAACTTAAAAAACACTGCCTAGTGGTACCCTACTGAAAAGGTAGCACTAAGAAGTAAGTCAATAACAAATTAATACTTCTGCACAAAATTAAAAACAAGTAGTAACTCAGTAAGAAAACAGAGATTAAGTAAAAGTCAAAGTAAATTATCATTTTTTAGATTAAATGGAGGGTTTTGGTTCATTAGGTTAGAACTTAGAAACCTGATCAAAAGGCCCAGATACATTTTTTTAGATTTATTCTTTTAGTTTTGTTGGTCTTTTCTCTTATTCCCATTTTTAACAACAATTAACAAAAACCGTGGAATCAATTCAACAATTGTAGACATATAATCTATGTATTAGAAACAAGAATCACCAACAGCATGGTATTATTATAAGTTAAGAATCAACAATCAATAGTGAAAATAATCAAGAATTAAGAATTACCAAAAACCATGAAATCAAATTACATACCGATTGAAATTTACAGAAAAATAGAATAGCGAGAGAGAGAATAGAGATAGCAGCGAGTTTTACAGAGAGACATACCGATTGGAAGGACGATCGGACAAAGTGACGCTGCCTTGGTATGCTCCCCGAATCACCGACGGATCTGTAAAAAATCTGCGAACACAAATGAAATTCGTCAGGGAGAACTTTAAACTAACCCTAAAATAGAAATTTACTACTATTTCCTAATACAAAGAAGTTCATCACACAAATGAGAGAAGGGCGGGAGAAAACGCACCAATCTATGAGAGTTGAAGATCTGGTGATGTTTACGGTTTGGGCACTGATATATATCCACGAATTTTTTTTATGCTTCCACGGATTTTGAAGGAAATTGACAATTACGCCCCTCCTTAAATTAAAACATACGCACACAGTATGCTTTCATTTATCTCCTGAGATATGATAGTAACAAAACCAGTAGACCCACTTCAAGAAACACACGAACCTCACATTCCCACAAGAAAGTCAAATCCAATAAAAATCAGACGAGAAAATCAGTCGATGTGTCCAACTCAGAGTCGGTTCTCCCAAACTAGCATTGACAAAAGGATACTTCATCCTTCAAAAGTCTGCATAGAGAAATAAATTGTTATAAAGCTTTGCGATTGTGCACTGGTGATTTTTGCTTGATTTTAGTGACCTGATTTTAACCACCTGCAAATTGTTTTTTTTTTTTTTTTTTTTCATCGTCTGGAAATAGCTTTTAAATTGAAAATAACTTTGCAAATGGCCACTAAAGCTTAGTTGAGCCCACCACTAAATATAATGATTAAGAGATGTCTGTTATATCTTTTTAATCAACTTTTCACTCCTATCTTAAAAATATAGTAAAAAGTGTTTGGTAATAAGAAAAGATTTTTTAAAACCAACTTTTGAAAAAGAATGGAAAGAAGCATTCTGAAAAGTCAGGTATCCGTATCTTTTTGTAACTAATCCAAACATATTATTAAAAACATCTTCCGTAAAAAGTCCTTTTACAAAAAGGTCTTTTACAAAAAGTCCTTTTGCAAAAAGGACTTTTGAAGGCAAAAAGATATCCCAAACACCCTCTAAAATAGAGGATGAGAGCTGCAAAAATCCAGCCATCAAACTCTAGCAATTGCTCATGTTCTTTGGTAATTAGAGGTTGTGAATGTGTTCTTCTGGTAAGCATCACCTTCTCCGACGAACCTGGTTTTTCTCCGACATTTTTCTGGTTCGTGATTAGAGTT